CAACAATAAAATTTTGACAACACAATAAAACATTAATCGGTAATTTAAAAGAAAGTAATTAATACTCTGAGTAGTTTTTGATAAAGTACTTTGTACTTTTACTTAAATATTTTTATATGATCAGCACTTTCGCTTGTAATTGTGTACAATTTAAGCAGTGCAACAGTACTTGTACTTGAGTACAAATTTTCAGTAATCTTTCCACCTCTGGTCTTTAGTTTTCAGATTTCTGTTCAGGTCTGGTCTGTCTGTTCCAAGCTGCTGACTAATACTTTATTTTCTAATTTTAGACTCACAAATGGACTTTTAATTTAAAATCTTCACTTTTGAACTCAGCAGGTTTTGCTGCACATTATTCCTGCATTAAATAAGATCTCATAAAGTCCAGCATTAGTCGTGGCTGCATCAATGAGCCAAAACCAACGAAACAATACTAAACGTGCCGTCTGCAGTTGTCATCACCAACATGATGATGCAATAAGTTATTATTATTGTGCTATTTATTAAGAGGAACTGCTCTGTGGGGCAATTTATTTATTTATTTATTAGGTGTGTCTGCACCACACCTGCTTTTACGAACAAGTCTCGCCTGTTCAACGAGATATCTGAAAAGGTATAATTTTAATTTTTCATAATCACAGAATACAAGTGCAGAAGTCCAACCAATTGTTTTAACTTGCCAACAGTTTGTCTCACATTCACACTGAAACACAGAGCAGTTCACAGCTCGCCAGCTTGAGCGTATAATTATAACTCTCGAGCAGTATAATTAATGTGAAGACACAGACGTCTGCTGCTTACGACTGTAGTTCAAGTTAAATATTTCTGAAAACAGACCGAGTGTGAATTGCAGATATTCCTGACCCTGCTGTTCCAAGTAAAAAGAACAAATCTGCTGTCCGCACGGGAAGGAAATCGTCAAGACATGCCGAGCAGAAGGTGTCCACACTGAACCTATTTTCTGACAGACTGTTTGTCAGAGTCAAAATGATGGAGTTGTGGTGAGCCAACAACACAACAAGCTCCCAGTAAACACATTTCACAACCAGCAAGATTTACTGCCACGCACACAGAGGTCCACAGACACAACAACAGGGTTGATACATGTGAGAGGTGCTGCTCATCATTTTCACACATGCTTGTTCAAAGTCCAGCGGTACGTTTTAACAACTGATCAACGCCTCATGGGATGAATTCAGACAGAGCAGTCGTCCTCACAAGACAGCACAACTTACACTAAAGTCATTTAAAGAGAAATACTACGATGTTCAGCAATTGTCTACAAACTCCATCTCCTGAACACGTCTAGACATTTTCTAAAATGCAATAAAGTCTTTATCTCTAGTTCGAAGATAAAAGTCCTCACTTTGTAGAAAGGGAGAAAGGCCACGGAGAGTGGCACGGTGCACGTGTCCGGCAGGATGGTTTGATACGACCCACTACTCTTCAAGCTGCTCCGGTCCACCGGGAATTCGCTGAGACTTACGTGGACCATCTGCAGGTTGGTTTGTTTCATCAGAACCCCACTCTCCGGCCCCTTCCCTGCCTCGGGCTCAGGCTCCAGCTTGTCATGGCGGCCGTCTCCATGATCCTCCATCTGCCTGCACAGAATGAACTCTACGGAACCATTCGGCTCCGCAGGGAACTTCAAATGTTTTGCGTCTGCCGGACCCGATTCTGGACGGCAGTCGTCATCCGTTGCCACGGTTATTACTATCATCATGCTGCTAACAGGACCCCACTGCTAGCAGAACAACACTGACAGCAGAACTACATTGCTAGCAGTACCGTACTGTGTACGAGACCGCACTGCTAACAGGACCATGTGCTAGTAGAACCACGCTGATAGCAGTACCATGCTGTGTACGGGACTGTGCAACTAACAGGACCACACTGCTGACAGAGCCACACTGCTGGTAGTACCATGCTACAAACAAAACCATGCTGTGAATAGAACCACATTGTTAACAGGACCATGCTACTAACATTATCATGCTGTTAACAGGCCACACTGCTAGCAGAACCACACTGCTAGTAGTACCATGCTGTGTGTGGGACCACACTGCTAACAGGACCACACTAGCAGAACCACACTGCTAGCAGTACCATGCTGTGTATGAGACCACACTGCTAACAG